CCCTGAGGACTCAGTTCAAAGACAGCACCGTGTTAACTATAGCTCACCGTGTAAACACCATCATGGACTGTGACAGGTAAACAATTTCATACAGTTTCCCCAGGAGAAAGAGAACTAGACAAACTAACAGCAATTCCACTTCTGTCCTTTTCTTGTTGAACCTGCAAAGCTTTGCTTTACGTCCTAGGAGCTATCCTACAGCACCTAGGCCCCAAGAGGCTAATGAGAAAATATATATGCCAATATGATGCACTTCATGCAGTATCACTCCCCTTTTTGATAGCTAAACCCTGGCTACACCTCCCTGCATCTTAAAATCACAAAGCCAAACACGTTCACAAAGTTTGCTCTAGTCACAGTTGCCAACAACCTCTCTTCCCGCAGACTCAGTACTTCAGCAGTCACTCATCATTTCAATCCCAGAGCTTTTTCCCAACTGAAAAGCTCCCGGAAGCTTGTTTGAATTATAAGCTAATATTGAGATTTATTTTAAAAATAAGTAGAAATAACTTGAAGTTTATTAGAGTAGTTAGTGCATCTCCAGGCTTACATTTCTATTTTAACATTCACAGGATTTTAGTCTTGGAAAATGGTTGTATTGCTGAATTTGATACTCCAGAAAAATTAATAGCTCAAAAAGGAGCATTCTACAGACTGGTGGAAGAATCAGGCCTTGTCTGACTCACCTGTGGAGCCTACCATAATGCAGTACCACTGTTAACCAGGAATAATTGATCTTTTAATTGAGTTGTTACCTTCGTTTCATTCTAAAATGCCCAATACTCAACCAAATTGTGCTTGAGCCATAGCTGCACTGGGGAGATGCACAGAGATGACTTGGGATACCCAGATATCCTTAGGAAACCTCAGGATTCCATGCTCATTATCTTGAGCCAGTAAACACGAGCACATCTGGACTGTGTTGCCTGTGGGCTGCCTGTCACAATAGCAGGAACCCTCTTCCTTCAGTCAGCTCGGATGGGGCCTGTACAAACTGTGCTGCTTGGATGGCTGATAAAGTGCTTGGGAAGAAGAGAGACAGGGCACACACTGCCTTCCTGGTGCAGGAGAGGATACCTGGGCTGGACCCTGCTGCCCTCAGAGCAGGGCTGCTGTGAAAGCCAGGCGGTCACCACAGTCACGGCTGAGCTGGTCTGAACTCTGTCACCCGACATTTCCAAAGGGATTTTGTCACAAGGAGTTTGCCTGGTGGAAAGCACCTTCCTGCAATCCGGGATATCGCCTGCAGCACAACAGTCCAGCAGATGGGGAAGCAGAGGAAACTCACCTGCTTCATTCCCAGCCTTCTGCTTGACCTGCTGTGTACTGTCAGGCAAAGCTCTGACCTCATGATGCTCACTTTCCCTCCCAGCTTTTTCCTTGGCAGCAGGGAGTGTGAGTTCACCTTGCTTGCCTGGCACAGCAGAGCCCTGGCTTGGTGCAGGTAACAAACCAGGAGCCCCAGAAAGCAAAACCTCAGCATGGTGCTGGGAATTGGCTGTCAGCCCTGCTCCCATCTTGGAGACACAAGAACATGAAAAAAAACAAATCATCTGTGAGACTGGGACGTTCATCATGATTTTTGTTACAGCACTTAATTTTCTGGGAGGCTGAAATAAAGCAGAATAAAATATTAAAATAGCTCTCTCCTGTAAGTTAATATAAACTTATAATACCAAAAGGAGTAACAGTGGAGGAGATTGGTAACTCAAGCCAGACCAGCCAAACCTGCAGCTTCTTCTCTGCCAGCTGTTGCGTCCCGCGCCAACCTGCAGCTTCTTCTCTGCCAGCTGTTCAGCAGCTTCTTCACCAACATTAAGAGCAGTTCACTGTTTCTGATGGAAACATGCCCAAGATCTTCACATCCACCTACTTCAAGGTCTGCTTGCACCAATACACTAAGAAAAAGTTTGTAGAAAAAAGAGAAAACCCTTTTTTTGTGGTTAAGCAAAATAGTTTAATCAAGGGGGAAAGAGGAGAGAAAAAAAAAAAAATCAAAGAACAGCTTAAATATGAGCACCATAAAGTATTATTAGTGAATCTCAAAACGATGTTTTAAACTGTGTTTATAAATAAGGGGATGTATTTTATTATTATTTAACCAAGGTAAAGACCAAAAGACCTTCCTGTTTTGCTGGGTAACTCTGAAACACGTATCTTTTAGCATACCCTAATCTCTGCTATAAACATCTTTTAGAGGCTCACTTTCTGTTCCTAAGTTGGTAATGAAGAGAGAAGGCAACAGAAGGAGAAAAACACACGTAGTTTCCCACTTGTAATCTTTGAAAGGACACACTGCTGCTGCTGCTGGTTTGCGCAATGTAACAGTGGGCAAAAATACCCTGAGCATTCAAGCATCAAGCTGTGCTGAAAGGGCAACAGAAGAGGGACTTCCAAGGTTATATCTGACACAGAAACTCTGCTGGAGGACTGGAGTCCCTGACTTCATGTCCAAGTAGTTATGCAAGTGAAATCAGGAACTCAAGTCTCTGACACAGAATGTAAATATGGTCTGCTCAAAACTCTACATTAACAACCTGCTTCACAAATTGCTCTGAAGAAATAAGAAATATTAAGAATTAAAAGTCTGTTTAATATCTCCAATAATCTGAATGCATAAAACTGATCAAGAGAAGGACCTTGATTAATATTATTAATATTTTAATCAGTTATTGTGAGGCCTAGAGTGCAGCACACACACAGCAGCTTCTTTTTGTTCAGTGTTTGCTGCTAGCTCAAATTCCAAATAACACCTTTCCATCTAAACCCAGTTTACTGACATCTCGGTGGCTTTCCTAGTCTATTTGTGCCTTCTGAACAAAACAAATGTTTCACTGGAGGTCAGGGCAACTCTGGCAAGGATTCTAGCAAGAGAAACCTAGAGCTCCGAGCTGCCGAGCCCTCCTGGAGACGGGGGCAGCGCTGCTGGACGGGTCAGCCCTGGCCAGGGAGCGTCACCCGGCCCTGCCCTGGACCCTTCCCCTCCACCCCTCGTACTCGGGAAAGCGCAAACGGCACCAAGCAGCCCCGAGGAACAGCCCACGCAGACTGAAGCGACTGCTCAGCCCTGCATTATTTCATCCCCACAAAACCACCCAGCACAAAAAAACAAAAACAAAAAAACCTGCCCCCCACACCCCCGCCATATCCACAAAACCAACCATTTCTCCCATAGCTCCCAGACGACTCTCCTTTCCCATCTGATTTTCCTTGACTAACTTAACACCAAGCCACCCAATAAGCATGGCAGACACACAGGACCGGGACACCATGGGAATGGCAATGGATCCTCTCCACAGCACCACTGCATCCTGCTCCTGTGATCCATCCTCACTGCCTGCTGCTCAGCAAGCTACGGGACTCAAATGGCAGAGTAAAGCAGGAGATGCCATCAACCTCTCCCACAGCACACGGGTATTTGCTGGCTCCCTGGCAGTCCTGCTAGTATCAATAATTCTTCTGAAGCGACTCCTCCATTAATTTGTGTTTTCAAGGCAAAAACCTGGACTGCAGAAGCTATGACTTTGTCAAATAAAACAAAAGATGACAGGTCATGTTATCATTCAAACCATTTTTCTTTTACTGCAAGTTCTTTGCAAATATTTGTATTTCTAATATAGTCATTACAAAAAATACCAAAGAAAATTTCAGTCTATTCAATTTCAGAGAGTCATAACTTACAAAAAAATAAATAGCTTTACTCTAAAGAGGAGACAATTGTATAGTCAGCAACATTATTCATACAAGTCCACATTCTCAGAGTGCTTAGTATTTGGATCCATCTAACATAGCTTACTGCCTTCCAACAATTTCTTAAAAAAAAAAAAAAAAGGGGGGGGGGCTGTTAAGAACATGAGAAATGCAATTGTTTTTTCCTTCCAAAATAAAAGTGAACATTCAACAAAATTATCTTGAAACCAGACTCCACTGTTAATTGAATTCTTGGACCTCTCTGACACACATAACTCTAAAACAGTAAAACAAGAATTTTTCTTTATAAACCTTAACAGAACATTTTCCCCACAAGATTTAAGAGCCAGCAGCAGCAGCATGAAGGGCACGTTTTTTTGTTATAAGGCTAAGGTCCTTGATGGGGCAGAGCTGCAAATTAAAGAATAGAACTGCCGAGTCAAGGCTATTACAATCAATATTAGGGTAACTTGGTTTGCAACCTTTGCTGAGACAAATCCTCGGTTCTAAGCGCAGTCCCCACAGATGTGACCAGGATTCTCCACCCATGTCCTAATTCCTGAGTGATCCAGGTGTTAAATCAGTGTTAAATCAGCGCTACGTCAGCTGCTGCAAGAACTTGGTCTTGGAGTGACTGTCATGGCAGGCGTGTTTAAATACTGCTGTGAAGTTGACTGTTTTTTTGGTTTTTTTTTGGTTTGTTTGTTTTGTTTTGTTTTTTTGTTTTTTTACCTCTGCACTACTGACACGTTACAGTGAACTTGCTGCTATGTACTGTAAACACATATGAAACTTTAGGAGAATGCATAAAAGCATTAACCATGTACAGTAAATGCCATAATGAGAAAATCTGGCACACACACATAATTTCACAGGAATTAAAAAAAAACAAACACGTCTTTGGGCTATAGTACTATATGCCACAAAATGTTCCAAGTGCATCCCACAGTAGATGGCTCACCAAATGAGGAATCAGCAAACAAGCAAATAATTAGCCTTTAAAAAATATTTTAAACAAAAAAAATGGGGCTTCAGAACATAAGAGCGGATGAAAAGGTAAAAGCTTTTCTGAACTTCTCTGACAGATCATTCCAATTACGTTTAAGCAATAGCAGGACAGATTCCAGGCAAAAGTTAATGTAAGTATCTGAAGTATTTTGGCCAGTATATGTGCCTCTCCTAAAGCAGGCTTGCTAAATCAATATTAAGGAGAAAAAAAACAAACAACAAAAAAAAGATATTGCATTTTTATGTTACTTCCATCTTCATGGTTTGGTTGACCTCCCGAGGTCCAACACTGAACACCACGGTTCACACCAGTTCGGTCAAAGCTACAGTTCTCCGAATGCGTCACCTTCCTCTTCCCCACGCTCACACACCAAATCCAATGCTACACCAAGCCTGAATCTTTGGCCATGCTATAGAAAATGCCTTTTTTCTGAAGTAGGTTGTCTGGGCTATCGCATTCCACAACTTCGCCTCTATCAAGGACTAAAACTCTGTAAAATAAGGGAAAAGAAAAAAGAAAAAGTTCACAAGATGAATCCAGAATGCCAATGAGTACAGGTTTATATGCAGACACAGGAACTGAGTGCAGCACAGTCCTTGTGTGCAAGGTAAGATAGCCCAGACTACAAGAATGAATAGCGTTTCACCTCTGTCCTTGCTGATCTCATTGCAGGTGGTCTCCCTCCCTGCTCTGCTTTTTAAGCAGCATGTATTTACTCTACTATTTGCAGGCACATAAGACAGTTCTGACTGTGCTCTGTGCCAACCAGAAACTAAGGAGCAGCACTTACTGTCAAGATGGAAGTCCCGACAACTTTGTGAAATCTGGCGTAAGGCTCCCTCAACTTTGCACTAAACTAACTGCTCTTATAAAGCACCCACTGACAACACAGATGTAGCTTATGAGAGGCAGCCATGCAGCTGTAATTAGGAAGGTTAGAAAAGCAAGGCACCACGGTCAGTTCACAGCTAAGATGCTGCCTTCAGCCACCTCCACCAACTAAGGAGGCCATGCAGAGATGCTGGCAAAGCTCCTTAGCAGGTGCTGCTCCACAGTGCTCTGGACTGATGGGTTTAACTGGGTGTTATTCTGATTAAAGGACTCCTGTGGTGCCATGCAGGCAATGCTCCTCTCATCTTTCCCAACGACAGTATGAGCAGAGGTCTACAAAAGCGGACAACTATCTTATCACTATCTCAGCACTTTGCTCTTTGCCACTCTGTAATATTAAGGACAAAACAGCTCAAAACTGAAATTCCAAGAAAAAAAAAGTCTGAGTAAGGTGATGTATATGAATGAGGTCATATGAACTATAACCAAAAGGGAGGGGAACATTAAAGGTTGTATAAACTTCAGACAAGTGCAGAACCTGCCCCTGCCTCCTTACACTGTCTTTGCCTAGCCTGGGATATGTGCTCCCTAAAGCTCTGCTGCCTTTTCCAGCTGTGTCTAAACCCGTATTACAGTAAGACCCAGGGAGAGATTCCTCCTGGCATCTCTCCCTTCCCTGCTCTGTCTGGGTAGCACCGACATGTCAGCGACAGAGGGATCGGAGCAGGCCCTGCGGCCAAGCACAAGCACCGTGAGCCACAGCAAATACAGTGGGGGGGAAAATGTAGTGCTTTACAGTTGGCTAACAAGGACACTCATTTAAGCAGAGCACAAAACAAGCCACACACACCAGATCACAAAATAGAAATAGTATTTACCTTGTGTAGTCCATGATTGTGTTCAGACGATGGGCTATAGTTAGAACGGTACATTCTTCAAACTGAGACTTTATGGTTGACTGTATAAGGTTATCTGTCTCAAGATCAACAGCAGCTGTGGCCTCATCTAGAACCAAGATTTTTGACTTTCTGAGCAGAGCCCGAGCCAGGCACACGAGCTGGCGCTGTCCCACACTGTGCACATGGGACAGAAAGATAAAAAGAAAAAAGAAAAAAAATGATCACAAGTTTGCAGTATTTCATTTCAAGGCCTAGCAACTTCTTGCAAGATCTCTGATAAAAAGAAGACAGATGAGGTCTGTCTTATTTCACTGCAAAGTATGCAACAGCATCTGTAACTGCATTTACCTCTGTCCCAATTAAGCTTAGGCAATAAGACAGAAGAAAACATGTTACAAATGTTTTCAGCATAACAGCATCAAGCTGGAGCACTGAATCAGTGCAGGGCCGAGGACTGGATTTTAAATGGGTTTTGCAGGCTGAACACATATCCCTCTTACGGTGCAAAAAGCAAGCCAACAACTCCCACAGGAAAACTGCCTCTGTTGGGCAAGAGCCACAGCAAGTTCTAAGCATCTGCTATAAATAGCAGGCTGTGTTACTAAAAGCCTTCAAAGACACCCTCAGCTGGGAAGCAGCATTCTCTGTGTATTTCTTCGATTATTTTAAATTCACTAGCTTCAGAGTTCAAAGTATGTTCAAATTGTCCCGAATGGGTTCTAAGGCTTCTGGAAGCAGGAAACCTAGCTATTGTCTAGCACATATAACTGCCAGGAAAATCTAAACTGGAGTCTGAAATTGCTGCAGATGGCAGGGGGCACAGGAAAGGCACACACAAGTCTCCATTCTTACTCAGTTCTTAAGGTAATTTTCACAAGCAAATTTTATTTACGCACCTGAGGTTCTCCCCACCTTCAGCGCACTCATGATTAAGTTTATCAGGAAGAGATGATACAAAATTTTTCAGGTGAGCCAATTCCAAAGACCTCCAAATGTCTTCATCAGAGTGTTGCTCAAAAGGATCAAGATTCATACGCAGAGACCCAGAAAACAGCACTGGATCCTAGTCCCATAAAAAGATAATCAACAAGATGCACAGAACATGACAAACTCCAGAAATGTTTTCTAGATTATAAAATGAAAACATGGCCAGCTGCAGTTACAAACAAACCAGTTTACTCAAGTTAGGATTGACATATCATTTTTCCCCCCAATAACAGCAAGTTATTTTTCCTCACCTATATTCCTTACATCTCTAGGGGCCTGACCTCTACCTTCTGAAGACTCTGGCACTCCATGACTCAGTAATTCACTAATTCAGAAGAAAACTAACCAACCACTCCTACTTATTGAGCTACTGAGCGAAAGAAGAGGTGCTCTCCCCAAGGCAGTATTTGCATTATTTTTCTTCTTGGATTTGAAGAAGTACTGCTTGGGAAATAGTTTTGACATAGTAAAGTCAACTAATACAAAATAATCAGAAGGAGAAAGCAAAGTCACCCCACTGATTTCAAAGGCAAGCAGACCACAAAACCCCTTGCAGCACAGTTTTGCCTACATGCTGCAACATGATTTATATAAACAATGTTTTATGGTGTTATTTTGAATCAGAGCAGGCAGGCACTAAAGGCTGTACAATAAGAATGACAAGGCAAGAGATTGTGGGCCCAGTACTTAAAAAGCCACATTCTCAAATACTTTAAACTGTTGAACGCACAGCGGCTGGACTAAACTGGGATGCTTTCAAGTTCACAAAAGAGCATAGTTAGATGTCTCCTTTTCATAGCTATGGATAAGGAAAGGAACATATTCTCCCCAGTTCATTATAGGAACAGCACTGTTCCAAAACAAGCTCAGATAACTGCAGTATTTCACACCTACCTGAGGGATGATGGTGATTCTGAACCTCAAGTCATGGAGTCCGATCTTTGCAATATTAATCCCATCAATAACAATTTCTCCTTCAGCTGCTTCATTAATCCGAAACAAACCCAGAGTAAGGGAGGATTTCCCAGCTCCTGTTCTTCCAACTATTCCTATCTGTTGGGGAGACATACAGGAAACAAGGAAGAGTTAAAGCATTTCCGGAAATCCACCTGAAATAGATGCATTTCAAAAGGTTATTATATTGGTTGTGCTACCAACCCCTAAATAGCATAGTCTGCTAAGGCTTACTGAACAGCAAGGGGAAAAAAAAAAGAGTATGAAAAAGGCGGGGGGAAGGTAGAAATCAAACAGACAAAAAGAACCACAAAAGGCAGCATCAAAACAGCAATCCATTCACAAGTTTTTAATTTTCCTGGAAAGGCACACAGAATCACACAAAAAAGTCCAAAAATTCCTTAACATTTGTTTGGTTCATGCTTGTGATATTCTGATTCTGTTTGAATTTATGATAAAATTAGAACATAAGCACTCACTTCCATACTACACACTTTGTGTTAGATGGAAATTTCTACCTTTTTATTCATGCATACTCAGATTTTCTGTCCAAACAAAGCAAGGTACATCAAGGTAGAAGGCGTATTCTCTTTCTGTAGAAGCTCTTTTAACGCCTGAGGACTCAAGTATCGCTACAGAACAGGGCCAACACTTGCACAGTCATAAACAGCCACCCTCGGGTGCAAGCTCAGGCTCATTACCTTCTCACCCCCGTTTATGGTAACATTGATGTTTTTCAGAACCAAATCCAAGTCTTCTCGGTAACGTAAACCATAGCCTCGAAACTCAATCTTCCCCTCCTGGGGCCAAGTGCTCGCTGGGGCAGTTTGTTCAATGCTCCATTCAGCCTGGAAGAACCGCACACAAACATATCTGGTTATTTTATCCTTCAACAGGACATGGGTTCAGTTTTTGCAAGAGGACTTTATGAATACAATTAAGAAAAATCCTAAGTAGTGTGCAACTTGCAAAAGGAACTGGCATGATGAAAGAGACCCTGAGGCAGATTAAATGGTAGGGAAATTTGCTATCGCAAGTCCCACTTGGAGGACAAATATTCCTTTAGAATCACAGCGTGTCCACGTATTTGGATAGCCCACCTACCCAAAGGTGCACAGCGAGGAAGCTATTGGGGAAGCCAGACATACAATTAAAGCAGCTCCACTGAGATGTGAGCACTGGGAGATCTATAGGGTGACAGCAAACAGCTGCTGCCTCAGTCTCCCTTAGAGGTGGGAGAAAGGAGAACATGCCCCAGTGTTTACACTGCTAGTGCCAAACAGCAGTCTGCTACCAGGACCTGAGAAAGACTTCTAGAAAGGGTCATCATAAGCTTTGGTTGCAAAAATAGTGATTCTGGTCAGGTTCTCAAGTAACAGGCACAGCAGAGGGAAGCCATGAGGAACTATTCTATAGCCAACCTGCACAACCGCAGGTAAAATGAGTCTAACTGATTTGAAACAAAAGTAAATTGCATTTCTCCCCATATCAAGAGTAGGACAATACACACATGAAAAAAATCTAGGCACTTAAAAAAAACTAATCTGTATTTGCACAGTTCCACTGCCTATCTAGGGCAGGATATCTTTTTTTTTTTTTTGTACAAAGATGTATAATGATTGGCAGACAGCTCAAAAGCACCCCCAGGAACTACCCACTGTTACAGTCTGTCCCTAGAAAGCACTCACAGCACTCGGCTCTATCAAATTTCTGCTTTTGCAGAGCTCAGAGAACTTGTTCATCTGCACCTTCCAGTGCAGCCAGCTAGGGCGTGGGGGAGAGGCTGCAGAACAGGTCTCTGACTTTTACACAAGACAGAGAGCACCGAGCCAAAGGCACTGCAGAGGGTGACAGAGAGTATCTGGCAAGGAGGAAAAGATCTCCCATCTGGAATGCTGCTTGTCTAGAGAGGAGATAACATAAGGGTAAAGCATTTCAGTAGCAGCTGCAGGTGTTCCAGGTGACAAAGAACTAAGTGTTAAGGGAGCTGTAGCTCCCTTGTGTTCCTGTTTTTACAGCCATAGAGGCTATATGCAACCATCAGCAAACAATGTTGCAACCGTGAGGCCAGTGATAAATCTGCCAAGCACTAGCTGTAAAGAATAGTCCCCACTGTACCTCTTTCTCCATTTCAGCATATTCTTTGACTCTTTCTACTGCAACGATGTTGGTTTCCAACTCAGATGACATACGAACCAGCCAGTTTAAGTATGCTGTAATCTGCAAGAAAGACAGAAACCCACATGTACTTTACATGTTACAGAATCCCAGCAATAATCCCTGTTCACCAAAGCATTGAGAATTCACTGAATATGGTCTTTATCCATCAGTGCTGGATAAAAAAGGATGTCTTTTACATGCATGTGATGACTTCTGAGCCACATTCCTTCACACTGAAAGGACAAAGTAATTTCTACCATCTCTCCCAATTTTATTTGCAATCACTTTTACAAAAAAATGTAATGTTCCTTACTTCAGTTTTCTCTCCACCCCAACGCAACGTTCTGACCATCCTATGCAGCCTCAACATACACAGATTTTTTTCATACCTGCAATGAGTAGGACACCGAGAGGCCAACCAGCCCTGCACTGAGCCTGTTGCGCGCGATCACCGCAAACAGCGCTGCGAAGAGGACGATGCAGTTCCCCACACACTCCAGACGGATTGCCAGCCACCTGCAAGACAAAAAATACACAGAGAATCAGGATGGAGGCTGACTGGTGTTCTACCATGCAGCTGTTTTTAAAAAATATTAAAATGTATTTATAATATATTAATCAGTAATAAAATTTTCTAATATCAGTATATATTTATAAAATTTTAAAATCTTGTCATGGCATCCAAGTACTGCCAGTGACACAAGAATTCCGAAGTACTTAAGGCTCTGTCCTAGCAGCATGAAAACCTAGACATGTACAAAATTAATAAGCCTTTCAGGGATATGAATTCTTGTTTTAGTTCAGAGAGCAGCTATGGTTACACTGGGATGAAGGAATCAAGACTTGTAAAAAACATTTTCTGTGAAGTAAGGCAGGAACTCATGGGAAGAAAAGAAATTTAGAAGTCATCTAAATTCCTTCCCACAAGTTTAAGCAAGGCATCTGTGAAAGAGATACAGCTCCACAGGCTTTCTCACTGTGACTCAAGGACAGAGCAGAACCATGTCCTTCAAAATTTCTTCCCGACTGTTACCTGTTTGCAACAATGCTTGGATAATAAGCTTTCTGGTTTTCATCCACTTTCATGTCATTCTGCTGTATGAAACGCTTCTGCTCCTCAAAGGCTCGAATGACACTCACTCCCAGGAGGGTCTCGTTGAAGTGAGAATACACCGGAGAGCGGCTGACCGACTCCAGGCGCTTCAGCTGGCGAGAAGTGGCCACGTAAAATCTCTGCAGGTCAAAGAGCCAGAATGCTGGTTACGTTCAGATGTCCTAACAAGGCCTCGCTATACATCTACTAAGGAGCCTAAGACCTGTCACAGGAGCCTAAGAGAGTGACAGATAGAGTTTCTAATTCAAGAGCCCAAACGAGAAATCAGCTTCTTTTCTCAGATTTGTCCTAGTTTTACTGAACCAAGTGAAGCAAGTGCACCCTGCCAAAAGAAGACAGGAGTCGAAGGCTGCCATCATTTCTCTTCCTTTGTAAACATTTTTCTGACCACACGCAGGCATTGGCAATCATGCAAACATGCCTCTCTTGTTTGGAAGATAGCTTTAAAGGTTACAGAAATCAGACTTCTACACTTGACAATCATGGAAACGCTCTGCTAAATTCACCAAGTTATCCATGCACCATCAATCAAATGCAGACTCTCAAGTCAAACGCATTAAAATCCCTTCTACCACAGAGTCAGAAAGGAACAATCTTAAATAGCAGAGGGTGAGAGTGTGTGCTGGCCCAGGTGACCCTAATGCTCCCTACCTGCACAAACAAATAGACAAGTCCCAGAGGTGGAATAATGACAGCAGCTATTGGTGTGGCCAGCAGAATGATGATACAAGCCCCAATGACATTAAAAGTTGACCCCATGAACATCTTGATGATTGGTGGGATAGTGGAGTCAATAGTATCCATTTCCTTGGAGAAACGATTCACCAGATTTCCACTGGGTGTACGTTCAAAGAAACTCATTGGAGACCTGAGGACATTGTGGAGCAGATTAAGGTGCAGGTGTCGTGAAGCAAATATTCCCCCTATTGACACAACCATCGAGTAGCCAAACACAGCAATACCTGCAGAGAAGAAGGAGGGTGGAGAGAGAAAAAGAAAGAAAGATAAAGAAGTGTTTTCTATCTCAACTCTCACTCAAGTAATTTTATTTCATTTTATCATCATTTAGAATTAGCAGGTATTTCTAGCACAATAATCCCAGGAATTTAGGAAAAGGACAGTTACACTCAGCGAACCACATGTCTCAAGTAATTGAAAACATTTTTCAGCAAAAACACAGCACTTCTCTCAAGAATTTGGTTTTCCATTATGATGTTTCATAAAATATCTGAGCACACTCACTAAGTAAACACCACTCAATTTGAAGATATTTTTTATTTCTTACTGTAAGATTTATGGCAGCCATTCTGAAGTGTGATTCTTGGGCTATTAGCTTTTATGTCAAACAAACTTTGACCACAAAAAAAAAAGAAGACATGTAACAAGAAGCAGCTGCCTGGGGCAGGCCCTCAATAGCCTAATGCAACAGGAGCCTCTGCAGCTCAGCCAGAAAAGCTGCACAGGCCTCAGCGCAGGTCCTGCACCAAGGGATGCTGCTGTGGACTGATCCCTGGGATAGGGTAGCTCAGGCTTGGAGACAGACTAAAGAGCCGTTTCTTGGATTAGCTTTACGTTACCTGGACTCATGGCTCCTTAGATTCTGTAACTGCATTTTTAAAATTCTTTTTACCCTCTCTCCTCCATAGGAAAGGGGAATCAAATTCACTAACTGAATAATTTTACAGGTTGGTTTACTTGGTAAAGTTTTAGTTTTCCTGTTTTAAAACAGCAACAACAACAACATGCTCCCACCACCAGATACTCCTTAGAAAATCTTTGCTGTAGTTCTAGGGATACAAGGTTACCATAGAGCATCAAAAACGATCTGAACCAGCTAATCCTAAAGTCCAAGCAAACCTTGAGAAATTCCCAACGCTCCGTACACTCCCAGTCTCACATTCGTGTACTGCTGGGTCCCATTGACAACAGGGTCATCTGTCCACAAACTTAGCCAGTAGTTGGAAGCCAGGGAGGCTACGTGGTTACACATAAACAGGAAGATGCTCAGAAAAGAGATGAAGAGTCCAATAGCTTTCATGTAGTCCCAATACACCGTTGCCTTTACCTGAAGGCAGAAGAGAAAAATACTGACATTGCAAAGCAAGCTTCAAACCCAGCAACACCCTTTTCTATTTACGGTCATAATTTCCTCCATCAGGTCATAAAAATACACAGCAGTTGCACACAAGAAAGCCAAGCCTGGCAACGTGAATAGCAAAGGGCTGCACGAATGTGGGCCAGAAGCAGCGTCTCTGTGGGCAGGCGCACACACACCATCCGGAGGGCAGGGAGAGGAGAGGGCTGCCTGAAGTAACACACCTAAAAACAGGGGTTCCACATTTAGGTGCTCCCCTTTACAAGGTTATATAGCCTATATACAGCCTATAGCAGCAGTCCTGCTCCAAATTACTGTATTTTCTGATCTACGTTTAAACAAGGTATTCAAGCAACATCAAGGAGATGTAACTGACATTTTCCCAGACTTTTCCCTCTTTAGGTTTCTCGGGAAAAGCCCGTCTTGAGATTAGATGTTTGAATCTGCAGTGGAAACTTGGCTCAAATTCAACTGATTGAATTTCAGCTCCTTACACCAAAGGACAGATTTCACTAGGTCACTTAATTAGTCATGACTTGGCAACCTCTTTCCAAGAAACAGCCACAATGCTTTCATGTCTTCTGTTACACTGAAGTGTGGCTGGGCCCACAATCTGCAACAGAAGTGCTGACACCAGCACACTTCTGCAAGCAAATGTGGGGCTCAGGTCAGGGAGCAGGTGGTTCAGCAACACTTCATGAGGTGCTGCACAACAGCCAGTGAGCACAGGAGTCCACTCAGCCCTTCCTCAGTGCAGTTTCATGGTCTTCAAAAGTGATGTTATTCTCAGCCCTGTGGGTTTCTTGGAAGCTGAAAGTGGGCACAGGAGGGAGAAAGGGGAGCCTTACCCTTCCCGTCTTGGCTGTGTCGGCTTCCGTCAGCTTCCAGGAATTCTTTTCTGCCATCGGCTTCTGCAGCTCTGCAGTGCTGCTCTGGTGCTGCGACTTCCCTGTCTCGCCGCTGTACGTTGAAGAGTTACTAAGCTGCCTGTTTAAAGATATTTATTTTCTAGTCTTAGCATAACATGGACCAAGTACTTACTCTATAAGCAGACTTCAACAGCCCATGTCCACATGTCAGGATGCCAACGTACACCACTGGTCAGAATCAGTCTCCTAATGAGCCCTGGCCTAGATGCCTAATCCCCCTTGATTAGGTTGGGTGCCCAAGCAGTGTCTTCAGACACTCGTTGACAGGCAGCCAGCCAAAGCAGCGTGGGCTTGAGCAGTATGATTCCAGGAAGAGAGACTGGTTGGTGAAGATCAATACCAGTCTTCACAAATGCTTCCACTATATACAGTGCAGCTATCAAACACGGTATCCCCGCTGACATGAAAACGGGCAAGTTTTCCCCCAGCAATCATTATCTCCCCGAAACACCATACCTCTAGAGCACCATAAAAACAAGGTATAGACTAAGATGGTTTTTGGAAGGTACAATAGAATGACGGCCCTTTGGCCTCTCTCAAGCAAAAGAGCAACTGTACGCAGCTCTGACTACAGTTCCATCCAGCCCTGCACCCCTCTGACACAGTCAAGTGAAGAAGCTTTAGAAAAGCCTACAAGAACTGGACCAGCCAATACAATATTCCTCCTTTTGAAGGAGCCAAGCCCACAGCACCTGGTTGTCTGAGCTCTGAGCAAACACATTTGAATGCCTATTTGAAAGGCTATTTGTGCTCAAGGCTATTTGTGCTCAAGCCAGGATACAAACCGCAAGTAAACTCGTGGAGACTGAAAACTTCAAGGTCAGCCAAGAATTGTAAGTGCAAAATACAAAGGAACTACCCAGAAAAGTGACCAACTCTGATGTACCAAAAAGGAGCAGGAGGTTATTGTCATTAACTGCAGGTGTATATCCCTCCCAATGAATTAACACCATGAACAACAAGGCTCTGCCTGTTCACAACTGAGTAAAAAGGGGAGCGTAGGGGAAGAGAGACTACATACCTATGCACCAGTTTTCCAGGAGCTTCGTTTGCCAGAACACCGTTTTCTATAGGCTTTCCTTCCTTTCCAACTAGACTATTTGCATCTGTAAGAAAAAAGTAAACATGAAAAAGGTAGCCAAGATATACAAAAGCAATTTCAAACCAAATGCCAGTTGCAGACCTGATGGGCAAACCAGAGGGAGAAGGTGAGTGCTATCAGACTACTGACCAGATGGACAGGGCGATTTTGTTCTATCCCAACAGGATGAGTTGCCAAGAAAAGGAACATTTTTCTATTTTACTATCAAATATGTCAGCAGTATGAATCTAAAATAACTATGAGGAAACTCGATGTTGAAGTCCACAATATTAAGTCATGCTACGTGTCATGCAGTAGAGAAACATTCCAAACATCTTTACTCTTCACACTATCTTTTTATAAAGTTAGCTACAAAATCATTTTGAGTCCAACTGGAAGACATTCTAGTAAGCAATAGCAAGGAGCTAGAAGAACAGAGGGCACGTGCCACTGACTTGAAGCCTTCCTTCAAAACTCTCAAGTAACATGCAAAATCCTGATGCTCAAGGCAAAACCAGGAGTTGAATTCACTTAAGCAATCAAAAGCTACAGCTTCAGTAAAAGCACTTTTGTTATCCCATAACGTATTGACAAAATGCAGCACAAGACAACAGCCTAAAACAACTTACAAAATCTGTTACAGTATTAAATGAAAGCTTTCTTTGAGCAACTTAATTCAGTATAATACAGTGCTGTCAGTAAACCTTCTAGGCTCCAGTTACCATATGCCAGCATTTTCCTAATGCAAAATGAAATGATCTTTACCATTAAAAAGAGAAGCATAATTTCAATGGAAAACTATTTATCCACAATTTGAAATAAAAACCTTTCAGCATTTCAGAAAGAATATCACTGAAGCTCTATGCTCACACTGACAAAACTAAACTGAAAATAAATTACCCCTTGTTAACTGCTCTTCAGATTTGATTTTCTTTTGTAGCCAATACATGCAGGAAATCTTTTTTCTAGTTAATGCAGCATATGCAGGAAATCTTTGTAGATTTCCTGCATTAACTAGAATAAAGAGTTCTCTGGATTACCACAGCAAGTCTGGCACATATGCTGAAGTGTTCCATGAAAAGAAGAAGGAGGAAAAAAAAAAAAAAAAAAAAAAAAAAAAAAAAAAGGAAAAGCCACCAAATGCCCAGCAGACACGCAAGAATGAAAAGGACTCTCCCTCTCTGGGGGTCATTCGCTGCTCTCCTGAGCCCAGGTGGGAGCTGCAGCTTTGGGAAGTTTTGTTTAATCTTGAAAGCGCCTGAGCTCAGAATCGCTGCTGGTGACACATCTACAGGCTGACACACCAACCAGTGCAGCTGACACACCAGCCAGTACCATTAACAAACAACAGCAAACCAAGCAGGGATCTTGCATCATGCTGCTGCAGTTCCTTTATTGACTCGGCCTCTATTGCAAGTGAAATGCAGCTATTCTCATTGCTTCACACAAGCACCAGTACAAAGCCACATGGCAAAAAAAAAAAAAAAAAAAAAAAAAAAAAAAAAAAAAATACCCCGAATTGCTCCTTCTAATGAAGGATCTGAGTCTAAAAGCACATATCATTAACTTTCATTGCAGAACATGTTTTCACATCTGTTATAGCATAGTCAACCATTCTCAATCTTTACAAGCACAAATGCATCTAAGTAGCACAACCTAAACCACAAAAACATGTAAATGCCCACAGCAGCAGCAAGTCTGCTGCATGAGCCTCTCCTTTGTTACGACACCCAGGCAAAAGAAAAAAAAAAGATCATAAAAAAGGCAAAAGAAAAATTCAAGTCAAATGGCTACAAGTAACCAGTCAAGAACCCTCCTTTCTTTCAAGATATCCATTACCAAAGAAAGGATCAAAAAAGCGACTCAAAGATGACCTCTCTCTGAACCACACAGAACACCAGTATTTACGCACAGGGAACTACCACATGCATTTTCCCCCCATGCTAAGACAGACTTCATTCAGGCAACTCAAGGGTCTCCTTGATGGTACCATTAGCAACACAGCAAGGTTAAGAGCAGCTGCTTTTGTTGACTTGGCTCCTGGCCACAGGTGCCCAGCACCAGCCTGAAGGGACAAATTCCTCCCTCTTCCAACACCTCCAGACCATGACAGCACTTCTTGTGTCAGACCAGTGTTTGCTTCTGTTTGTGGCTGAGGCTGCAAGCAGCTCTTCTTTTAGGAGAAGAGGAAACTTGAATTTTGCTACAAGCTAAGCAAAATAAATTTAAGGGGAAGTCAGATTATTTCCTGACCCAGGCAGGTGGTTCCTGAATTATGAGGCCAGCCCAGAGGGGGCCAACACATCTCACACTACTTAACCCTTGCCTCGCAAGGGGCAGGAAGCAGCAAAGCCTCCCGCGAGCACCATGCAGGACGTCCTACCCCATGGGCAATGTCACCACTACAGTCAGCCCTTCCTGCCAGGCTCCAATCCCTGCAAGTGAGGGCTGCTCACACAGTCAAGGCTTTTCCTAGTGGATATGAAACCCCAGCCTGTAATAGTGGTCATTTTTAAGTTATTTTTATATATAACTTATTATATACACTGGCATTAATAGTAAGCTACCGAGCAAGGAAAGTATCTTCAAACTTCAACTTGAGCAGTTTATAAATTGCTTCTTAATTTCAGGAGTAAGCAAAGCCTTTTGACTTTTTCTCCCCCCTCCCTTCTCCCCACTACAGAGGCCAAGCCAGGCTTTGTGCATCTTAATCTTGAGCAACACCAACTCTTTTCCAGAAAGCAGGTTTCTGCTTTGTGTCCTGTGATATACTAAGTTCATAAAATTTAAGAGAGTCCAAATAATATAACAGATGTACAAATATTAACTGTGCTGTACACTTCTGTCTTCCAGGCACTGCAGGCAAGGCAAAAGTTGAACCACTCCACTGCAAAAACATTTTGACCTTATGGTGCACTTCTGGTAAGTTCTAGATGCTTTTACTTCCCATAAATACAGCAAAAATTGCTCCAGGCAGATGCTGAACCCATTCTAAAGAGAGAGAGGAAAACAAAACAAAACAAAACAAAAAACAAAAAACAAAACAAACAAAAAAAAAACCCACACACCCCCACACCAAAAACAAATACTCAGCTCACACACACACCAATCGCTGAAACAAAAGTGACCATCTGCTACATCTGTTGGTATGAGAGAAGGGTGAAACGAGGGTAAGGAAGGAAGTCAGAGTGACCTGGAGTGCAGGTTCCTCCTTCCTCACAGAGATCAGGACAGGAACGGCAGCCCAGTGCAGAGTGGCAACCTCGGGGGTGGCCGAGGGAGGCCGGGGAGCCGACGTGCCACAGCCTCGGGAGGCCGGGGGCAGTGGGAGGCCTCCCCCGCTGCACAAACGGGACACGTTTGGCTAGAAAGCACCAACATGATTTTTTTCATTTTGCTCCAGCTTAATGTTTACAGTTGGCCAATACATAGCTACAGACCTATGGGGGCCTTCAGCGCTCTTGCTAGCGCTTGCTGACTCCCTTCACAGATCACCCTGCATTTATCCAAGAACTTGTAATCTTTAATAATATTTATGTATCTTTTCACATCTAATAAATATTAATATTGCCCTTGTGAACTAGACAGATTATGACCGTATTTTTCACTTCTTACCCTTAGCAGAAGATCACTTGACCAAAGCTAAAAAAACAAATTTATTACAAATGCACCAACATAGTGACAGAGCAGCAACCTGTGAACCACCTGGGTTACCCTGAACTTAGAAGGGCCTAATATTAGATAGCTACAGACAAGCATGACTCTTTTCAAGATATGATTCAGTATTTAAATGCAACAGGAAAGTAACTTGCTTACATGTAAATACAGGATTTCAAAACCTGCCAAATACTTACAAAGGAGAGGACATCAGCTAAAAAAAGGAGGAAATTTAATGAGCCATATCCTTGTACCAAGTAACTCTCCAAGGGGAAGCACAGGGTGGCTAGTTCATTTGTCTCCAAAAGTCTCATAAGCTGACGTTTGCAACGAGCTAGAAGCAACTATGGGAGTACCTACAGAGAACAGCCATACTATTTCTATAAAACTTTTTCCTACAGTGTTCCTCACACGCTCATACAGCACTCACAACACAGCATTCCCATCCGTGGATGGATCAAGTGACCTGTCCAAGAGGAGAGCTGGCTCACAGCAGGGAAACCCAGACCTTGAGTCTCAGTTCAGCTGTGTGGAAAGGTCAGGAAAACAGCACAAGGAGGCCACAAAAAACAGGCCGAATTCCTCTCTTTAGAACTAATACTAAACCTGTCTGCAGGAAAAACAAAAATTAAAGAGAAACTCTAAAGCATATTCCTGCCTCAGGACAGCTCTGCAGCTGTTTGCAAAAGCAGGAGAAGCAATCAGGAATGTCAGCTAGGAAAATGAGTTGCTATTCCTGGCCCATGCCCCTTGTGTTACCTGCATAAAGGAGCCACACCACAAAAAGCAGAGGGAACAGTCTACAACTTCCAGCTGACTCTTTTATTTGACCCCACAGATGTCTTAGCTTTCTCTAAGTGAGAGGACTTCCACTGTGGATCCTGCTAAATTTTAGGAAAGAAAGTGTGCTTAACCTCTCATAGCAACCTTCAGTGCCCTCACCTCAGAAATAAATACCTCTTCCACATGCAGACCTAACACAGGAAACACTGGTTT